TTTTACTGGCTGATTTCGGTAACTTATGTTTCCCTTCTTCAGCATGGTACTTGATGTTTGATCAGTTACACACAATTAATGGTTTTGTTTTTTACTGGCTGATTTCGGTAACTTATGTTTCCCTTCTTCAGCGTGGTACTTGATGTTTGATCAGTTACACACAATTAATGGTTTTGTTTTTTACTGGCTGATTTCGGTAACTTATGTTTTCCTTCTTTAGCGTGGTACTTGATGTTTGATCAGTTACACACAATTAATGGTTTTGTTTTTTACTGGCTGATTTCGGTAACTTATGTTTCCCTTCTTTCACAATTATAATATGTATTTAACACGTGTTTGATTACTTTCAGTAACTGGAATAACTTCACACTTACACTTTTCAACCTCAATATTTATAATATAGAATTTCTGTTGTAAGTTTCAACAGCTACACAGTTTTTAAGCTTCAAGATACATTAATTATTACTTTTTAACACTAGCATACTTTCCACAACTTCAATATGTAACAAATCAAAATACTTTATATCATTGTCAGAGCTAAATATCTCCTTTATACAGAATTCCAAATAATTTTGTTTTGCTGAATAGAAATGTTTATAAATCTGTAGTTAACTAGGGAAATCAGCCAGTAAAAAACAAGACCATTAATTGTGTGTAACTGATCAAACATCAAGTACCATGCTGTTTATGTGAAATGTGTAAAGTAAGGAACATTTATTACAAATTCATTAAGGGATTTCTACAATGTTATGTTAGTAGTTGTTATCTTTGTTTGGAATAATTTTAAGCAATACTATTTCTGTTACTATTTACTATAAAATATAAAAAAAATTTTCTTTAGACCTTGTATTTATTGAAACAAATGCAAGAGACTTCAAATGCCAGTATTAACTCCAACGCTACAAAGCTGGAAGCTTCACTTCTTCAGAGAATAAAGTTTCAAGTAAGTTGATGCCTTTTTTTTTATGGAAGGATAATTAACTACTAAATTATCACAAATTTTGTGTTGTAATTCTGCCCTGTATCTTATGTAACGTTCTGGTGTTTCTGTAAATGTTGTCACTATCTGTAGGAAAATAGGGGTAATAGACGTATCATTTACAGAATTTGTTTGTTGTTCAGACTTTCACTGTTCCTGCAGTATAGACTTACAAACTATTTATTGAGTTCAAGAAATTCTTATTATTGTTCTCCTTTTTTTAATTACCATTTTAGTGTGTATACATATATTCAAAAAATAGTTTTCTTGTTTATATTGTGAAACATCATTTTTATACAATATAAAATGTGTCTTTTGTTAGGATTTTTAACTTTTTTATGTATTTTATTAAGATTTATGTGTTCTTCAAGGCTGATATACATGTCCATGTGGGTAGATAATGTTCATATTTCAACATATGTGACAATTAAGTTAGTAGTTATCTGCTACTGACAACATCATGGATCTTCTAAAGAAAGACTGTGTAAGATAATTTGGAAATATATATATATAAACTCAGTTATAAAGAAAAAAAGATTTAACTCTCTCAATACAGGCTTGGTCATTTTGGCCTACCTTGTAACCACCAGGTAATCAGGAAAGCTTTTAGTAAACATTACAAGTCTATTGTGCACAAAGAAAAATCAGAATCTGTTAATTAAGAGTTTTTGTCAATGAATATATGGAGTCCGTGTTAAGTAGTCCAAGTGCAAAGTGATCTTCATGTTAAGATTAAAAATACATATTTTCATCTTAGTTTTCAAATTTTGTTTGCATAACCTACAAAAAGCTAAATGAACATCAAACATTTTTTCCCAGTGAAACTTTATATTTTATCTGTTATTTTCTTTCTTCTAGCTCTAGATGAACTCTGTCAATTTAACCAACCTTTTAATCACCACAAAAAATATGACTTAAATATAAATCACCCCTTTTGTCTTTATTTCTAGAATGATTAACGGTTGTAACAGAAAACTACAATTAATTATCCTAAATAGCTTAACATTTGTAGCAGTTTAAATCTGTTTCCACTCAAGTTTATTGCCTTTTGAACTGTGTCTAATTAATAATCCTATAATACAACTGTAAAATCCCTCAGCGAATACATAGCTCAAGTTATCACCTTACCTTATCTAATATTTTTATTTTAGGTATTTTATAACAATAAAAAATATATCCATAAAAAGCAAAAGATTAGTACTTATAAAACTTAAGACTACTTTTTTGTAATGGTGGTATTAGTACATTAAATGTTTTAGTTATTTCAAGTATGCACTTAAGAACACAAAATAATAGCACATACAAATATAACAATGTCTTACAATTTCTTTAGTTACTCAATCTGAACTTAACAATAACAACTTTCGATCTATAATCAAAATAACTAAAATCTCTACTGTAGCATTATACATCACTTGGTAAATTAAAACTTTGTCGTTATCTTGGTTATAAATAATGTAATAGCAAACATCAAAGAGAATTACTGGCAATTTGTAAAAGAGAGGATGTGACAGGAGGGCATGGTAAGTAGTCTGACTTTCTAGTTCATAAACAAAGAAGATTGAAGGCTATAAAAATGCAAATCATTCAGACATAATTTTCATCAACATACATTTTCTTTAGTTTTTTAAGTTATTTTTTTCTCTCTTACTTCGAAGTGGAATGCCAGTAAATGTAATGAATTATCACCTCAAAGACGACTAACATAAGCATGAAAAATGACCATATGTGGTTAACAAGAGTCAGAGGAACGAATAAAACAGTGTTCAACATTTTCTTTCATCAAACCCAACATTGGCAACAGAACTGGCCTATCATTCTAATGTAGTTTATTAAGACATGAAAAAGAACCATATATGAAATAAGGAGTATGGCACGTTTGTCTTCCAGTGAGATGATTTAATAAGAACAATCTACAAAAATTATGTCTTTCGGTGATGCCACATAGACATCCTAAATCAAAAGAGTTGACAGGACATTTATGAAAAACGAGACATACAGATGGTAAGTGTAGAAATGCTGGCATAGAATTCCCCGTGATGAGGCTGATAGTACTGGAATTTGACACTAGAAGAAAAAGAAATGAAAGTTCTTGCAACAGACATTGCTGTTTACCAAAATACGTATTGGACAGAAGGATCCAGTGCCCGGAAAACTCGACCATGTCAATAGTTGCCAACGAATCAAACTGGAGGTCGTACTGTAGTCTGCAGTCTAACTGGACAAATATGGTTTTGATGCTACTTTCAACTGTGACATGAAGATCCTATTTGAGAGCCTTGAGAAACTAATTTTAGGACTCTCAGGATCTCTCTCCATCTTTATCCAGCAGCCAGTCCTCCAGGGACAGTCCAGCAAAGCTTGTAGAATGGCCAGAATTACAACTTAAAGAAACTTACACTACCTATCCTGTATGTAAGCTTATCTTGTCATATCGTTTTTATTTAGCAACATATAAGTAATCATGTCTAGAGAATGTGATCTAATCAAAACAATTGATTGTTTAAGAGCTGTTCAATCTCTGAAGAATAATCAATTGCACTTATGTAATTGAGAAATAAAAACACATATGTTGTTTAGTTTACTTATCTTTGAGATATTTCTTTAAACTTTAGGTAAACTTCGAGTTGGTGACTTGTGAGTGTAACCCACAACTGTGTAAACATCCTGGAAGTAAATTTATTTGTAACGAGTGAAAGTTGACTAACCGAACTGGTACACTATGAGTAACCTACATTACACTCATGGCATCAGCAAGTAGTGGTTAAAAAAATAGAAGATGGGCAAATCTGAGAAAATAAAGGTCATGCTACATATATAAGGGGATTGAGAATTTACTTAAGTATTTCCTTTTCAATTAAGAAACTAAATCTTACATAGTATTAAAATCTAATTTAACAATGACATTTTGATACCAAGTTTACACATTGATAGAATAAGTAGTTTAATTAAATTTGAAATATATCTCTACAAAACAAAGTAGGAAGAGGGTTAAATTGTTACATAGGAGTTTCTTATATAATAACCACTTCAGATTTATCAATTCCACACACTACAGTATCTACGATCCTGGAATAAATATAACAGCAGCGATATTGTGATACTAACATTTTTTTTTACTCTTTTGTGAAACGGAGTAAGTCTCCAGTCAGGATCATCGCTGTCACCTTCACTACCTGAACTGGAAGTGTCTGAAATGATTTCTTCCAATTGAAAACGTTCTTCTTTCAGACGCGTTTCTTTCATCTGAAAAAAAGAGAAATGATTTATAAAACAAATGGATTTAAAACACGTTTCTCTTGTTTATAAATATTTTTTTCACAATAAATAAGCAAAAATAAAGCTACCTTTTCAGGAACAATTCTTGAAGATTCTGACGAAAAATCAGGCATAAGTGACATCTTGCTACCTTTACAACGTGCAACAGTAAGTTGCTGAAAGATAAAAATACACAAGGTCATATACTTGTTTACAAAGATGTAGTACATAACAATAGAATTATGTTTTACAGCATAATGAGAATGTAAAGCAACATTATCTAAAAAAAACAACAACATGTTTTCCATGATGGTATTTGTAGTTGGGTAACTTATCAATAAATTCAAAATTTAAGCAATTTTCCAAAATAACTTACTTTCTTCAAACTATCACATTCTTCAATTTTATTTTGAAGTTCTTCATGTAAGTACGCCAGTCGAGAAATTTCATTTTCCTGCAATAAAAATTTTCATTCCTTACATGGTTAATTCTTTCATTACCTACGTTATGCAACATCATTTCAAGTGCATCACTGTACCTCTAAATTAAAAACATAATTAGAAATTATAATTCTACTTCAACATTTGTGCCAGGAAATACTGTAGAAATAATATTATGACACAAGATATAAGTTATGTATTTCATTCTACAAATATTAATTCAAGAAGTAAAAACTATTTTATTTGTATAAGTGTAAGACTGTAATTATGAATTTTTAACTTTTTTCGACAGCCGCTTGGGCTTACACTTGTTTTTGCCAATAGACTATGTAGAAGTATAATTATGATTTCAAACCTTTTAGGGGCAATATAAACTGAGTTATGACTTCATTGTTTGAGTTCACAGTACCTTCTAGCAGGGTCTTGACAACTGGGTGTATATTTCAGTTTTAAAGAACAAATACAATCTCCAGTTAAAAATCACCATAAAGATGGGAAGCAGAGCATGAAAAATATTTTAATAACTTCTTTTTCCCTTTATGGGGATGGATCTCAGCTTTAAATAAACAAAAACTCTCCAACTATACGCCAATGTAATGGTAGGAGATGAGTTTCAAAACTATTTCAATAACCTCCAAACAATTTCTTAAGGCAGCCGTCCCTAATTTAGCAGTGTAAGACTAGAGGGAAGGCAGCTAGTCATCACCACCCACCGCCAACTCTTGGGCTACTCTTTTAACAACGATTAGTGGGATTGACCGTCACTTTATAACACCCCCACAGCTGTTAGGGCAAGCATGTTTGGTGTGACGGGGATTTGAACCCTAACCACCTGGCCAATTTGAAATGTTAATTTGGATTATTTTTGTGAGTCATAAAACTAACAGATTAAGCTTGAATTAACTAAAAGTAACAATCAAAATACCAATTTCAATTACTTGATCATTTGTGTGAAATTAATCAATTAAATCATAGTTTCAATAAATCAATTATTCTAAATGATACTTATCAACTATTATTCATCCTCCAGCTCTGATTATAAACTTAGAATTATTTTATTCTTAAAACACAAAAAATCAAATCTGTTGTTTTTTAAAGCTATTTCTGCAACATATGTTAAATCTGAAAACATTTAACACTTAGCATATGGCTAGGCAGCTAGATTTCCCAATAGAATAATAGCCAAGATTGTTTAACATAAATAATAGATAGCAATAATTCTAATTACCTTAATGCCTTTTTTTGTTTTCGATTTTTCTTCTTCTGAGTCAGTTGAGTTTTCATTTTCTGTTAGCTGTTGGGATCCTTTAGACTATAAAAATTAAAATCAAATTCTTAAAAACAACTAGATGAATTATATTCCAGTCATTGATTTTTACACCACTTGATTGTCTTAGGTTATGAAGTAAATCTAGCAACTCTTATCCAACACCTGACAGATACCTCTTGAAGTTAAAATGTGCTCAATAGCTAAAACAGCAAGGGTTGCTAAGCTCTTGTTAACCTTTATTACCATTCTAACTTCCAACAATCAAGTGGAAATCAGATGACAAAGTACATACATTTGTACTGTGAACATTACTAGCTTGAAAAGCAAGAACTATCACTGGTCTACATATTGTCTTTTGGCTACAACTCTAGCATTTCCTCTTTTAAATAGTCATGTACAGCTAGATTAGTGGTTTCAGCTCTTTCCTCGTCATCAGTCCCAGCCCCAGGCTCCACAGGATGTTCATTTGTGATGTATGAATTCAGCTTACTGATGTGTTCAACATGTGATTTGCATCTGTTGTAAGTCATAGTCAAAAGAATAATATGCCAGAGGAATGGACCCTGTCCAATCAGACTCAAGATATTGGCACTTACCACAGTCAGACCCAATCCCCACACTGGCACATTCATTCCTTTACAATCTAGTAATATCACTTCTGACATTCGGCAGCATTTCCTAGCTGTTAATAGCTAAACCCGTGCACAACAACTAAGGCAGACGTTAACCACTCTTTGTATTCCTGTGAAAATTGTGGGATGTCTAATGGAAGTAGTACGCATTACGTGAACATGGAACAGGATTTTCCATCTGAACATTAGAATGTTCAGCAAACAGCCAGTAAACCTGTGTTCAGTTGGTATCATTATGTATGGGAAGTCCTCATTCCAGTCAGTTTGACCAAGATCAACAAACTTGGCAAACATGCAACTGGTAGTTTGTATTATCTTTCTACTAAACCACCTGACTGGGGATGATAAGGTGAAGTACATGTCTCTACCACATCTAACACAACTGGCTATCGATATTAGCTCCCTGATCCATTTGGATCTCTTCCAGTGCTCCAAACCATGCTAGCCAGTGCATTGCCAACATGAGCTTTAGACTGAGCCAATGTGTCGACTAATGGATCAACCTTGGTCCACTTCATGAAACAGTCAATGACAATGAGTATGTTCCAATGACCTCGTTCTGTTTCTGGAAGTGGACCAATGTTATACTGGGCTATCATCTACAAATAAGATCCAAAGGTCCTCTGTTGGATTTACCCCATTTTGACCAGTTGTTTCTATTAGTGTTTTGAATGCACCTGTGTCAACAAGGAACTCAATCTTTTGCTCTTGTATCCTCACAGGTATGTAAAAAGCTCCACTCAGCCCAGAGAGAGAAAATTGAGCTGACCAAGCCTTTTGATGCTACCTGTCTGCAATGCTCCCTCAAGACTGCCAGACACAACTTAAGCTCTGTTAGTTTTCTGGAACTATTGTGACAGCATTCAATGCTAGCTGTTGGGTCTCTTAAATTTGAGGAGTTGTTAGTCAATACCAATAACCTTGCCTAATTTGCTCTTCAGCAAAGTACAGGCAATTCAATCACCAGTGATACAAAACACTGCACATGAGGCAGACTCTTCACACCTCCTGTACTGGACAAAGTCCAAGCAGAGTTATCATCAACATACGGTGTTGTATGTAAACCATGAAAATAATGGGACAGCCCATCCACTGAAAACCACAGTGTGATGGCATCTAGGAGCCAGAATGCATGGGTCACTGTTATATCTTTGGTATAGCTTGAGCTCAGCATGGTGAAGATACCAGAGTAGGATGGTCTGTATCTACAGCAGTTACTACTACAGACTTCTTTATCTCTTTTGATTAGCTCGAAGTTACCACTTCCTACTCAATCACTACAGACACTACCTCTGTAAATGAGAGGATAGTCCCTCAATTAACTTGCCCACCAAGATGTCTTTTGATCTGCAGTAAAACAGCTCATAAGGTTAAATAATAGTCCCTTAACAGTAAAAACAGCTAATAAGGTTAAATGAATATCAAAAAAGCATAATATTCCCGTATGAACTTATGGGAGAAAAAAACATATAGACTAGAGATGGGTGATTAGTGGAATTTGATAATTAATTAGCCATCAGGCTCATTAACAGATTACATTCAACTAATCACTTACTCTAGAAGTAGTTGTAATAATCAAAAATAGTAATAATTTGAAATGTTTGTTTGTTATGGATTTCGTGTAAGGCTACATGAGGGCTATCTGCTCTTACAAACGTTAACTAATACAAACCTACGACTCCACAGTAACAAAATATGTCTACTGCTGATATATATAATGTTTTTGTCAATGTGTTAGCTAAACATATTTTTGGTCAAAAAACATAGTTTTTAGAGTATTTTTAAATATTAACATATGTAATGGTATAATGGAATTTTTTATTAGAGATAAGACAATTGAGGAAATTCTTATAATCAATTTTCTGAAAATTTGTGAATAAATGTCAACAGCATGCTTATTTTCATACCAATGAGTGTCATATATAAATAGGCTTATGTCAGCATATTGTGTATAATGAATCCTGTGCTAAAACTGTTGTGATATGAAGTGGTGCTTTGCTGATTTTTAACTTCAAAAGCAAGGTAAAATCTGATTAAAAAAAATACAACACATAAATTAGTTGAAATATGTCCAAAAAACACAACAAAGAGATACTTGACTTCAGATAATTTCTGGGGGAGCATGAACTGAACCCCCCACCCCTACCATCTTTCAGACACCAGACTAAATATACATGATCACACCTGAAAAACATTCTATGCCACCGCTAAAGCATACATAACATAAAAGTATTATCATTAACAAAAAATTTTCAAGAAGAAACTATGAAAAAATTTTAGGTTTGTCCCTTGTTCCTAAGATTTGCATTAGAATTGTTTATTCTCCACTATCAGAACTTCCATTAATCACTTCTCAGAAATCATACATAACTATTTATACAAGTTGTTTATTTTACAAGGTAGATAGGACAAGAATGTTTTTTTATCAACTCATATTTAGATATATGTTCTATTTTTTTGGACTTATTACCGTCCAACCCACCTGCTGTGATATCATAAAATCCTCGCAACATGTTTCCTAAAATATTAAGACAAGTAATAATCAAAACCTTCGTTAAAACTATTTGTAAGGCATGCCAAAATCTGGGTAAATATAAACCTTTACTTAGGTATGAGCAGAAAAATTCTAACTAAATGTGTAAGGGCTTTGTTTCGAAACAATATTCATTGAAAACGAACAGAGATCAAAGTTCAAACTTTTTTTATTTTTCTTTATATAAATTTTCCAAATGTTTAAAATATTGGTTCTTAGATAGTCTTGATTCAAAAACTGTTGAAACAAATTAAAAAATACTATTTTATTTAAACTGTGAAATTTGATATGTACGTGTGCCCTCTTGACCCCAGAAGGTTGAGCATTCTCAAATACGGTTAATTCCAGCCACTTTGAAAATGTAGTCCCTGTCTACAAGACACATGACTTTCAAATGTCAAGTAAGGCTACAACTTTGTATGACGTATAAGTTTGGTCAACAATCATTTATCCTGTAGTGAAATATCATGTCCACTATTTTCTAAGTATCAGTGACATTTGACCCATGACCTTAAATGTCAATAAGGTGTAATTTTGCAAGTATTACCTGTCCCAAGATCGGAACAAACGTGCAAACAGACAAAAGGACATGTAATCAACATAATCTGCCCAGTGATGCTTCAGATGGGAAGCATAAAAACGGGCTGTATCAGCAGTAGGCATATTTTGTTACTGTGGAGTCGTAGGTTTGTATTAGTTAA